AATATACTGGTAGAGAGCAAGAAACTGAACAATAATCCTTAGGGTTCCTTGAACTGTACTATTACTCTTTTCAAAGTGAAATTCAGCAAAAAATGATACAACAGTGTATGTTCTGTGCTGTATTTTATGCCAATTATATGATAAAATATGATGTCAGCACAAGCACAACAGAACAATAGCATTTACTGAAATAGGAGAAAAATAATCTTTGCTTGTAGTAAATTTTGCCTTGAGCAGTATTACAAAATGTCATAGGCCAAGGAACATTTCTTACGGCATTCATTGTCAAAAGAATGACCTCAACTGACTCTGTTTTAAAGGAGCTATTTGAGGAACACTTTTGTGTCAATGGGCTTTTCAGCTTTGAATACAGAGCCCTCAAAAAAGATCCTCAATGTGAGCCAGCAGTTGACCACTGCAGAACAATTCTGAATACTCCCAAATCAACAGCAGATTTTGCTACATAGGATGTACCTCAAGCCATCGTAAGATGCTGCCTACCAGAGAGCTGGGATATTCACAGATAATGTTAGCTGAAGTCCTCATTGTGTGTCTGCCTTGCATCTCATCATTCACCATATACTGTCCCCAAGATTGAAGATCCCCTTAAGGGACCAGGAAGAGAGCTCAGGGTGAAGATACGTTAGCTACACTGCCAGGTTGCTGATGGCTGCAGGAGGAGTTTGTACAAATGGTGTCCCACTTGAACCAGCCTTCCCCCATTAAAATGTCCAGCAAGCAGGCCAGGATAAGTGTTAAGCTATGGTCCATAATAAAGATAAATGCTAAAAATATGGACTGTGTTTGCAGCTTTGCAGACGTAATGTAGATGTATACCTCTGAGAGAGGCAACTAATGTGGAAATGGATCAGGTAATGTAAATGTGGACACTCTAAGTGCTACAGGACTCAAATTTAGGTCCAGGACACATGAAGGCAGAGGTTATCCTTCTAATGGATAGCACAGAGAAATGGCAGAGGTGATCTACTTGGATGGTTTTGGAATGGATCCTCTGGAACCCTTCTAGGTCCTCTGTAGCATCAGAAAATATTGCCAGCTTTTCTGAAACTCTTCGTGTAAAAGAACACAGCTCATTGCACATCTAAATTATGAAATATTCACTGTCTATCATCTAGGGACGACGGAAGAATATTGGCAGCACAACATACTTTGAGGGCTGGAATACAGAAATCACTCTTGGCAGAAAAGCGATGTCAGATTGAAGTATTGACTCAAAGGTCACTAGTTTATTTTGCAGTGTTGAACAAAAGATGTCTGAGAGCAGGTTGCCACTAACTTAAAAGATTTTCAAAGTAATTTTAAGGGAACCAGGGAGAACCTCTATGCAGTGAATGGGATCCAACCTGGAGGTTAAATTTTACAGCCCACTTAAAAAAACAAAACACATTTTGACTCTTTGGGAAGAGAGATGGAGTAGAGTGTGTTGTAGGTAGGGAATATATACCATTTCCTCTGATGCAGCAGTTTGAATTGCAGACCTTGCAGACAGATGATGGATATGTAACTAGGGATGGATCCTCCATGCTGTTATTTTGGAGGATGTTCCCCATTGCTTTAGGTGAGTAGGCTGTAGTGAATTATAAGATGGAGAAGGTGACCCTTTGACAGTTGTTGGAGTTGGGTTAATAAAGATGGTCTTGACCAATATGGAGCTATAAGAATGCAGGACACTTTGTATGGCCCAATAATTTTCTGCCATACAAAACAGAGGTGAAAACATATCCCCAATGAAAAAAGAAAGCATCTCCTTTGAGGTCCTTTCCAACACCTCCCCTACTGAAGTACTTGAAACATTTCTTCTTGTCACAAGTGAGCAATCAGTCAGTCTGTGATATTTGCTGAACAAAAAGTGGAGTGAGATAGAGAGAATGAAGAAGCCATTGACATGCCACTGTTCTTCCTCTACTGAATGTAACTCTCTTGAGGTTGTATATAGCTGGGAGGTGTATAGTTATGAATAGGATGTTGAAGTGAATGCACCAGTACCAAATGTCCAGGATGATGGTGTGTAGAGTCATAGATATTGAGTCCTCCTTTATTCAAACTTTTGTTGCCACATTATCTGTGATAATTTGACCACTGGTATCAAGTGGATCTCTGGAGAGGCAGCAGATGCATTTTCTAATCAAGGAAGTAAATAGAGTAGAGAAGTAATTTCCTACTGCAAGGAGTTCAAGGGAACTGATTTGTATGCTCGCTTCTGCAAGAGTCAATGAGCTGTTGGTCCACACAGGGGGCTCCCCAACCAATAAGGATGAATTTACAGTGACTAGTACCTGGAACTGTATGCCGGGCTACAGGGTGAAAAGTTGCAATCACCAGTGAAGAGACAGAAGACAGGATAATGTCAAAAACCCTGGTTAGATTGGCCTGCTGATTTCATTCTGGTTTGTTACTTCTATCTCATGAGGAAGGAGGATTCCTCCATGACAGTATGATGTTAAAGGGGAGATCTTCATCAATGTACTTATGTTAGGCATGCCAATTTAAAGCTATAGAAGTGATCTCAGTGTTAGGAGCACAGTTGACCCAATTACTGCCAAGATGGTATTGATGTGAGTCGCCTTAATCTTGCCATGTACAGGAGGGCCCATCATAGCATCTAAATAGGTGATGTCTGTTAGAGTAACAATATCGGTCTCTCTCTAAGGTCATCTGACAGATAATATGGGAGCTGATCTTTTCACTGTTGAAGAGGTGAGGTGAATTCTACTTGAACTTTACTAAACCTTCACAAGGGATGAAGCAATGGTTTCTGGGAATAAAGCAACACAGAATACCGTGCTACCTTGAAAGGAGTTATTAGAAATGCTCCAGGGCCAATGCATCTTCTACCAGCAATATGTTCAATATTGGAATCAAAGTGGGCAGCAGTTTTATTACTGTGCTAGATGCTATAGTTGACATCAGAAGGGGCAGTACAGGAATCTCCAAGACTCTGGGTGATTTTGGTAAGCTTATTTCTGCTGTCCAGTTGAGCTCTTGCTGCTATTGAGTCACTTGGGTCCTTCAGCACAGTCAAGATGGAGCTTGTTTGTCAGCTGACTGTCCTTCGGTTCCAAGTGCCACAGCCTGAGTTGTAGGCAAATAAGCTGTTTGTAGTGTCCTGGCTCTGGGAACAAAGGACAATGGGGGCAGAGCTGGCTCAGCACAGGGCACCTGAGTCACTAGGTTCAGTTGAGGCTTTTATTTTTTTTGTGGTGATAAAAGATTGCTGCCAAAGCATGCCGTAAATCTGGAGATGCGGTTCCTCCGAGATTGCCTTGTGAATTTGGCACAATGACTTTCTCTCATACATAACAGGCACATATTGTGGGTGTCAAGGACAGGTAGCTTACTTGCACAACCACTGATAATTTAAAACTACTGCTTTTCTATAAGCCTACCAAGGGTAGAAAAGGGGTGAGGAGGGGATATTAACTACATAATTTTATGTTATGATAGGAAAAGGACTGATGGAAAGATATTTGTCCTTTCAAAATTAACACGGCTGTTTATTATCACAGATATTTTTGGTAAGCTCATTCAAGTATCTGTTTATTTATAAGCTGTCTTCTTCCAAATACAGGACCCACGGCCACAGAACCTAAACCTTTGAAGAAACACAAGAAATCAGAGACTCAGGAACAGCAGATGGAGGGGCGAGGAGAAGAGGGTCTCAATGAGATGTATGGGCTGCCAGGTGCAACTGGAAAACCTAATTTATGTTTAATATAAGTGATGCCGTGGAAGACCATGCAGCTGACACACCACAGTCCATTTCTTCCCTGGTCTCCCTCCACTTGCTAGAGTAAGTGGGACATTGTTCTATAATAGATGAGGGAGAGGAGGATGGACAGACTAGAGAAAGAATTAGCAGGAGCCACAACATCTGCAGAATATTCTCCTGAATTAATATTAAATATGTCAAGTTCTCTGGATTGCAAGCCTTGTGGGTGAACGGTTGCAGAAAGAGCATCAAAGGAAGATTTGCAACAACTGAGGCCAGAAATGGAAGAAACTATGGGTTAAAACTGTAAGTTCCAGTGTTTCCAGTCTTCATGTTCCTTTATCCATTGAACTTAGGCTCCGAACACACACAAATACTCACGGATGCCGGGCGGATTTAACAGGCGCAATCACACAAGCACATCTGGCAAGCGTCACACACCCGTTGGCAAGCCGTCGCATCCCACCAAAGATCCGGAGTTAAAAGCTACCGCAGAAACTCTACTATTTTACGCTTGCGACGGACCACAGACGGACGTCCTCCATCTGATCGCTCCAGCGCCGCATGTGCGCCGACAAACTGCTACCCCCGATTCCCTGCCATCGCATCTGATTGCGTTCGGCCGGGTCACAAGTGTGGTGCAGCGGAAAGCCACGCCTCCCCCCCACGTTCTCTGGCCAGTGTGAACGGGACCTCACATTGGGAAGACCAAGCCTTCATTAAAGTATGTCTTCCTTTTCTGTAACCCATCATCAGGTGGGATAACAGAATTACTTTAGAAAACACACAAATAAGAAAATGTGCCCTTATTATCAGGCAAGTACAAATGTGAAAATACTGCACTCTAAGTTCTCTGAAGTGAGGGTTGTTAGTCCCAATGTCACAGCGGTGGTTCCTTTGCTTTTGGGGTTTTTGATCCACCCCATCCCCAAACAGGGTTGTCATTGCATGACGCCCCCGATGTGATGTCACTCTGGGTTACGTCATTGTGCTGGGGAAGTTGCATGGCGACCCTCTGGTTTTTGGGCAAACTCTTCTATTGTTTTGAAGGTAAAACCCCCATAGAGGTTTGCCCAAAAATTAGAGTGTCATGTGCAATGTCGCTGACATGATGATGTCACTTCTGGGTGACATCATCGCATCAGGGATGTCACATGCAACATCCTGCCCACCCCCTGAATGCCCCCCAAATCCCCTGCTGCGATGGTGAGGGGACATGGCAATCCTATCTGAAACACAAGGGCAAACAAATCAGCTGTGCTTTTCTTACCTTCAATAACTCTCAATGCTTTTTTGCAGCTGGGCAGAGGCCAGTTTGCTAAACTTGATTCTTGAAAAATTTCCTTTAATTTCATATATTCCATAGGAAACCGAGCTTTTGTGGCATTGTTCAGTTCTGTGATGCAAGGGAAGAAAAAGATTGTAATTATTAAAGATATTCAGATTTCTTCAAACTCACAAAGACTTGAAGAGAAAGATTTCTTAGGAAACATGTTAGTACACGAAATTAAGATTGTGAATAAATTAATTGTACTTTGGAAGTTTGGTGTGACAGACGGGAGGCTGTCCTGCCACTGAAGGGGAAAAGAGCTACTTATCTGTTTCATCACTGAGCCTATGGGAGTGCTGCCCCAGCATCCAATCACCTTTCAGAAGGGGGATGGAATGTTGGAGGGAAGGACAGAGGCAGTTTAGTTCAGTTCTGCCTCAAGTAGAGTGCAAGTGATAGTCTAGGGTCTGATGGTTTGAAGGGTAGCTCTGACTGGTAATGTGGCAGAGTGGTTTAGCTCTAAGTCTGGTAGAGGATAGAATACCCAGTTGTTAGGCCTGTCTCTGGTAATGAGCTCATTCTGTTTATTCTGACTCTTGGGAAAGGGCAGGGTGGTATAGATGGAATGCTGTGAGTGTGAAAGGATCCAAACTAGTAGCTAGTCAGTTAAAGCCAGTTCATAACTTGAAAGCATTAAAGAGAATTAAAGCCACACTCTGAAGATATAACTATCTTAAATTTATGTCTTTCAGCCAGGTTTATTCTTTGCCTATCTGGAGACTTGCACTGCTTCTCTGTTCTGTAAACAAATCTTTGTTATTTACATACACCTCCTGCCACAGTGATCTCCCGTGTTCATCTTGCTCACCACAAAATTCACATCATGGCAGCAAACCCCAAGCCTTTACACTTGCTACCAAAAAATACCTTGTAGCTAAGGGTAAAGTTTACAGTTCTAGACAAACCTTAGTCACCAAAAATGTAATGGGCTGTATGGATACTTCTGGTTCCAAGATAGGGCCTGTCACATTTGGACTGTACAAAACCTTCACCTTTAGTTTTACAAAGTTTTAATCTCTTTTTAGCAGAGTACAGGCAGGAGAGGAAAGTCAAGCCTCACCCTGCCAGGATTTAGAGATGCTAATTGCTCCCTGGATGGAGACAATGAAATGGTCTGCTCATCCCTCCAGCTAGAAGATGACACCTAGTGGGAGGCAAAGATTTGGAGGACTGAAAATGTTAGAACATCCCTTCCTGGAGACTTCAGGAAAGTCTTCATTGACCCCCACAAGGGGTGGGCAGACAGAAATAACAAATCCCCTTGGCACACAGGGGGAGGTCTTTTTTGTTTATTCCATCTAGGCAAAAGGAGGTCTCATACCTGGGTGCCTGCTAGCAGCAGCTGCCATTGCCATGTGGGGGACTGCAAGCCTGAACAAAGACTCCAAGGTAATGGGAAAATTTTAAAACCACTGTAACATCTAAGTAACAGAGTCTGCCTTAGAATAAAATCAGCTGGGGCATGTACAGAGTAAGGGACAAAGGAATTGTGTATTTACACTTTTCTTTTGGATCCCTTGCTCAATCTGTTGTAAGCCTTTTCTTTTAAATACATGTTTTATAATTTTTAGTTGTTCTCTGTACCACACAGAGCTCCATCAACCAAATATGCTGTTTTAAATGGGAGGGGGGGGATCAATTGGCAAGCTGCTAATCTCCCAGGGGTGTGCAAGTGAAGTATGCTGTCCCTGTCATGACCAGATGCATGGTAGCAGGAGACACAAGAATGAGGTGAGGCCTTAAAATGGCACCACAGGGAAGGGAAGTTGGGAGACCTGGCCCCTATAAAGGCCAGGTGGAGACAGTGAATGAACTGAAAGAGGGAGAGAAAAGCCCCTTCAAGGGCTGGGTAAGCTGGGTGGTTGGCACATGGCTGGTGGATACATGGATGACCGCTGGTGTCCAAACACCTCAGAAGGCAAGACAGAGCAGGGACTGCAAATCAGTGGGGCTGGTCTGCCACAAATACCAATGACAAAGTATCCAGCCCATGTAATCATATAACTATGTTTTTTATTTGTGTTTTTTGAACACTTTTCTATGTTGCATGGGAACTCACACTTGAAATGTAAGAATCTCAAACTCATTTTGAGATACACAACTGAAGTCTACAATTTAAAGATTTCTGTTGCAATTCTGTGCAAGCTTGCCTGAGAGTAAGTCTCACGGAATTTACAGTAAGCATGCATAAGATGAACTACATAATACCCTTTGCTTGCATGCAACTCTTTGGCGATGCCTCAGATATCCATTTGCCCTGTTGCCCAAGATAGGAATTCAGTGCATTTTATTTATTTATGGCTTTATGTTAACTGGAGGTACAGAACAATGTTTTGACAGCAGTAGGACTTAAACAGTTGTATAATGGACTGAAACCCAGGAGAGAAAGCCTATGGAAAATTACAAATAAGCAGATATATCTCCATTATAGTCTGTGCAATTGAAGGTATGCAGTGAAGGAGCCCTCTCCACAAACATTATATGGTTGCACCCCATGGCTGTTTTCAGTTTATTACCTTCTGGAGTTTGCTGCTCTTCTACAGTCTTCAAATAGCTTACAATACATGGCCAAATCTTTTCTTTCTCTGTGAAAACAGGCTTTAGAGGTACTGGAAAGGCTAGGTTTTCTCCACAAACAATGGTGTGCTGATGTAGCTCCCCCAAAATATGTAGGCTGAGGTCCAGCAGGGCAGGTCACAGGCAAGGTTGCAGAGAGTAACCAAAGTCCAGTCCAAAAGTTCAGGGTTCCAGATAACAAGTATACCAAATTCCAGTCTAGGGTCAAAGAGTTCCAGACAGTGAATCCAGTCCAAGAGCAGGGATTCTAGAAAAGCCAGGTGTCAGGTCCCATAGCAGCAAAGTATACTTGTTGCATCCACAAACTGCTGCTTCTCCCAGCTGAATTTATAGTGAAGTCTTAGAGAGCTAAACTTCCAGCCAATTCCTTGGCAGTCATCCTGAAACTACTTACTCATCTCGTCAATTGACAGCTGACGATGGGCCATGGGTCTCATACCTCATCTTCTTTCTTGCAACTCTAAGCATCTCTGGCAGCATCAGCACTGCAAGGATGTGGGTGAGCTAGTTGGGCTGGGAGTGTCTGCTGAAGACTTGTTTACTGCTTCAGAGCTACAAGGTGTATACTGTGACTCCTGATCAGCTAGTAACCTGATCGCTTTTCTCCTTGGTCAGAGCCAGCTGCAGCCAGCTGTTCAATTATCAACTAAGGGCTAGCAGGTAGCTCTTCCTCTGAGAAATCTGAGCCAGCACAGACTGACTTATGACAGATGGACTCATTATGCTGTGGTTCTTGTAACAGGGCAACAATAAGTTAAGCTGTCTGTTAAGAGATCTACTACCTTTGTTTCTGACTCACTCCTGGTTTACTATTCACCAAATCTGGCTATGAAGAAGCTGCTGTGAAGTTTGTGTCCATATTTCTCTTCTGCATCATGTTCTTTCAGGTTGAAAGCGGGGGGTGGTAGACATGTGCAATTGCAAATTTTTAGCCTCTAATAAGAAAAACAGCTGCTTCCACTGGATGTCTTTGATGTTATACAACAGCATAATTAGGGGTATATATTTTATTAAAGTACTATTAAGAATCACCAAAGAAATAGCCTTTGCTGAGATTCTGATTGTCACTGGATTAAGAAAAATAAACTACCAGGAGAACTGAAATTCCTGAATTAAATTCCCAACTGCTACAATCCTGTGCACACTTGCCTGGCTGGGAGTAAGTCCCACTGAGAACAATGGAACTCATTTCTGAGTAAATATGCATAGGTTAACTGAAAGGGACAGACAAATAAGGAAGGGCGGAGGAGTTGCATTATATGTAAAGGATATTGAGCATGCAAGTCCAGTTGATAGTTTCTGGGTAAAAATAAAAGGAATATGAAATAATAGTGATATTATGGTGGGGTCTGCTATAGACCACCAAGTCAGGCAGAGGGTTTGGATGAGACACTCCTAGAAGAGATTACAAAGTTCTCAAAGAGATGGGACACAGTGGTCATAGAAGATTTCAATTACTCAGATATCTGTTGGAAGTCCAACTTTGCTAAAAATGAAAGGTCCAATAAATTCCTGACTTGCCTTGCTGACAGCTTCATTTTCCAGAAAGTGGAGAAGGAAACAAGGGTATCTGCTATCTTGGACTTGATTCTTACCAACAGGGAAGAGCTGGTTGACAAGGTGAAAGGTAGTGGGCACCCTGGGTAGTGACCATGTAATTTTGGAATTTACAGTCTTGGGGAAGGGAAAGGCTGTACATAGACATATAGGTTGGACTTCAGGAAAGCAAATTTTGACAAACTTAAAGTTATGCTTATGCTGGTTAAAATCCCATGGTCAGAAATAATTAAGGAGAAGGGAGTTCAAGAGGGATGGGAGTTTCTTAAAAGCAAAATACTGACGGCACAATCAGAAGCAATTCCTATGAGAAGGAAAAATCGGAGGAGCCTAAAGAGGCTAAGGTGGCTCTATAAACAGCTTTCTAAAGACTTGAGAAATAAAACAGACTCATTCAGAAAGTGGAAGGAGGGCCTTATAACCAAGGATGAATATAAACAAATAACCAGTGCTTGTAGAGAGTTAGGAAAGCTAAAGCTCAGTATGAGCTTAGGCTAGCAAGATGCTAAAAACAACAAAAAAGGTTTTTTAAAAAATGTTCAAAGCAAGAAAAAGAGCAAGGACATGGTAGACCCATTGCAGGGATAGGAAAGTGAAATTGTAACAGGTGATGAAGACAAGGCAGAACGGCTCAATTCCTACTTTTCCTCAGTCTTCTCTTGTGAGGGACATGGTGCTCAACATGGCAAAAACAGAACACATGATGAGGGAAGGGAGTTGCAACCTAGGAGCAGCATAGGGGTAATACATAAACACCTAGTTTCTTTAAATGAAATTAGGTCCTCGGGGCCAGATGAACTGCATCCAAGGGTTCTAAAAGAACTCAAAGATGTAATTTCTGAGCCTCTGTCCATTATTCTGGGGAATTCCTGGAGAACAAGTGAGATGCCAGAAGATTGGAGAAGGGCAAAAGTTGTCCCCATCTTCAAGAA